CGTGGAACTCATGTGTGTGCACTGGCTTACGAATGCCCAGGGAGGGCTTCCAGGTCCACAGAAGCAAACAGGTTGGTGAGGGCTGACAACGCAGCTGGGACAGGCAGGAGCATGGATCACCAGGCTGGGGTATCAATGGGGACCCCATGAAAAGCCCCCTGGTCACCATCTATGGCCCTCTACATGCAGTGTCATCTCCATCCTCACTGCCCTTGACGTCACTGGGTACCCCTGAAAGAGGGGAGGTGCTGGTCCCCAACCCTGCCTACTTCACAGAAGATATTCTCTGAAGTGACAAACTTCCTGCCCCCCATGTGCAGTGGGTCTCCATGTGCCCAAGGATGGGGTGCACATGGCTGGTGGCAGGCTGGGAGAGCACCTGGTGCTGCTGGGACTGCAACAGAGGACATGCATCTGCATATGCCTGGCAGTCAGGAGACCTCATTGGAGGGTGATGACCTAGGGGTTGAATGCCAGTGACCCTGCAGGGGGCTGGCCCCCATGTGAATCTAAAATCCCATCCCAGAGCAGCTGTTCCTATAATAATCAAATGGCAAAGTTCCATGGCAAGCTACACAGCAACTCCCTCGCCAAATAACTGGCAAATCCCCAATTATAAATGCGGGCAGACGCTCAGAGAGGCATGACAATTGCCTGGAGGTGCACAGCGGGCAATACATAGCACTGGCAGGAGTGCCAGCTCTGTGCTATCCCAAAGCCATGTCCCCTGTCCCTTCCTGACACAGGGCACTAAAACACTGAGACAGAGGAGCTACTTGGGGGTGACAGGGAACAGCGTTACGTCCGCTCTAGAGCCTGCCTGCCCCTTCCCTGGCTTACTCATGAGCTGCAGCACCTCAGGGTGCTACTGCAGCTGGGTATCCAGGCAGCCAAGGTACCCCCACATGGCTATTGATCCAAGCAGACAGCTGACCTAGCAGCTGGTGATGACTTCCTTCCCATGGCAGGGCCACCCCGGGGCAGTGTTCTGACACTGTTTGTAGACATTTCAACCATAAACATCTGCCAACAGATGAGAACGACCTAGATCTGGTAAGTCATGGCATCTGGGCTTCCATTTTTAGCCTTCTTCCGGGGAGCCCTTCTGACAGCAGGGCTAACCAGGTGGGCTTTCCCCACAGGGCCACTTAGCTCACCCCTAAGAATGTGGGACCTTGAGGACTAAGAAGACTACAGGGACCCAAGGTCCTCTGCATAGCCACTGCCCTCCTTGCCCAAGTTCTCACATGTTTCCTGTCCCATTGTCCACAAAGCACTCTCTCCAGAGACTCTGCATGGCACTGGAGCTCCTTGTCACCAGGTAGGGAGGGCACCCATGCAGTGGAAGGGCCTCAGCACAGGGAAGGTGCGGGAACTATCATCAAAGCTGGTCTGAGGGGGCTGGAGAGAAGACTCAGAGGTTAAGAGCACCGACTGCTCTTCCAGAGGACCTGAGTTCAATTCCGAGCAACCACATGGTGGCTCACGACCATTCATTATGAGATTTGGTGCCCTCTTCTGGTGTGCAGATATACATGGAAGCAGAATGTTGTATATATAATAAAATAAAATCTTAAAAACAAACAAACAAAAGCTGGTCTGAATTGGCAGCACCTAGACACTCCTCTCGAGAGCCTCTTTGGGAGTCCAGCCAGCACCTATCACTGATGCACCCACAGCCAGAAAACCAAGGATACGTTGGCCTGGTGTGACTTTGGTGGGCTCTACTATAAACTGTGTGTGTGTGTGTGTGTGTGTGTGTGTGTGTGTGTGTCCCAAATACATACGTGGAGGACCTTAGCCCCAGTGTGATGGTACTTACAGGTGGTAAGGCTTGGATGAGCTATTAAGGATGGTCCCTTTTGAGAGCCCTCATGAGAGCTCACTCTCTCCTCACACATGTCTGCATACATGCAAAGCAAGACTTGAGGATGCACCAAGAGGGTGGCCGATGGTATGCTCTTACCAGAACCAGTTTGGGGTCCTCTGAGCTGGGGGATGATATGTCTGCTGTGTAAGCTGCCCAGTTGAAAGCCTCATCCCAGGCAGACTAAGCCAGGGTCTAAGGTGGGGAGGGCAGCCTTAGGAATAGGGATAGGAAGTGGGGTGAAGCAGGAGACAGGACTGAGCCACAGCGGCTCTTCTTCTGACCTACACCCTCAAGGTGTCACTACTCAGACCAGGACAGCAAGCAGCAGCAGGCGTGACTCTAGCAACAAAATTTAGCAGGGCCCCAGTGAGAGCAATGGTGATACACGGACAGGAACGTCTTCCACTCACCTCATGAGAGTTGGTGCCATGAGCCACTCTGGTTTTGCAAACTATGTGGGGGAGACAGAGAAGCAGACAGGAATTAACAGGGCTGATAACCACAAGGCCGGACAAGGGGAACAGGGACCCTCTGGATAGGAACCTCCCGCCTAAATATTAACCAGGCCCAGCCTTGCTTAGATCCCAGTACTGTGTGAGACTTGGGCATTCGGAGTGGTAAGGAACTCGTAAAGATGCCTTTAGCAAGAGGCACAAAGGGCTGGTGGGGACTAAGGGGATGACAGTCTCTGTGTCAAACAGTGTCTGTGCTCAGGTTAACAAGGACAGATGTCCCCAGGCCAGGTAGGAAGAGCTCCCCTAGGACCCTCTCAAGGTATGGGTAGAGGTGGGATCCAGGGCCTTCAATTGCTTCTAACAAGCTCAAATCTAGGGAAGCTGTAAACCTTACCCCCTCCCACAGTGGTGATGTCCACCCTGGAGTTTACAGTGTACATACTGAAGGGGAAGGCCAGGCCGTTCTGCTCCAGCAGCCTCATGGTGTCATCCCCACACAGGCTCGTGAGTTCCATGAAGGGCGGTGAGCAAATCCTGTCATCTAGGGCAGAGGAAGTCTGGTCAGCACACTCCTCCAGAGCCACCCACTACACCTACCTCCAGTGCCCAACTCTGAGGTCTCCTGACTTTACAGTCCTATGTGTACAATAAGCATGGCATAGTTGTTCACGTTTCCTGTCGATATAAAATCCCTGAGGTTTTGGTTGTGAGCCTAGCCTTTAGCGGCTGAACTGTGTCTCCAGCCCTCTGTCAGTATAAAATTCTTAAACGCTAACTGGAAAATGTGAGGAGCAATGAAAACTCCCAGTTTTACAGCTATAATTACTAAATTCTTAGTCTTTGAGTCTATGCTTACACACAGAGAGCTATTTAACAGAATGCCATTTTGCACACTGAAGATTAACCTGATGCATTGCTATTATCTCCTTAGCTTGGTAGCTCTCCACCCTCATCCGTATCTTGGTTTCATGACAATCTCCCTTCTCAGCTCATTCTCCTTAGGTGAAGTCCAAACTCCGAGTAGCCCAACAGTTTGGGGCTGCAGTTTCTTGGGGACCGTGGGAGGGGGTCTGGAGCCATCCTTTGTAGACTGCCCCAATCATCCATGTACCTTTGCCTTTTACCCTGTGGTACCCAGTGTCTTGCTGTACAGCAGATGCTCAGGAGCAGCACTTCCCAAAATCACACCACAATCTGGAGAGCAGGCTGACCGAGTGGTACAGCAGAAGGGAGCGGTAGGTCTGACCACATAGCTATAAGCCCTATTCCAAATGAGGCCCGGATCTGCATTCCACCCAGAGCCAGGAAGGCTCGTGAGTGGCCAGTAGGCTCTGTGGAGGGAGGATGAAGACTGTACAAGAGGCTTTGTACCTCAGAGTGCAGCCCCTGCAACCCAGGGGTGTGATGCTCACACCTCTGACCCAGAGCCTGGCCCCTCCCCTCTTTCAGGAAGACTCAGAGGCTGCTGGGATCCTACCAGCCATGTCCTGTAAGAGAGCCCAGACTCCCCTCACCAGAGTTTGCAGAGTTGGGTGACCAGCCTGCCCTTTTGATACTGACTTCTGAGGTCTCAGCATCTGCCTTGCTGTGGCCCATTCAGGATTCTTATGGCAACATCTCCATAAACTCTTGTTCTGTGCCAGACACAGTCCCACACAGCCACTCATTTGTGGTAGTTTGAATGTAACTGGCCCACATAAGCTCATAAGGAGTGGCACTATTAGGAGGTGTGGTTTTGTTGGAGGAGGTGTGGTCCCATTCCCATGAGTACACATTCAGAGAACATTGGACTCACAGTGAGTTATTTTTGAGAGAGAGGGAGTGGGGAAAGAGGGAGGGAATGAGGGAGGGAAGGAGGGAGGGAGGGAGGGAGGGAGGGGAGATGGTTGGGAATGGATATGGGAGAAGTTAGGGGAGGAGTGGGGAATAGATATGATCAAAATGTAAGAAATCTCAAGTAATTAAGTGTTAATTAATTATTGATTGTTTATCAAGAAGTAGCTACCCACTGAAAGCCCAATCCATGTGTCCTGAGCAGCACGATCCCCGACTCTGTGGCAAGGCTCCCAAAATAGATGCTTCAACATACATCTATGCATGGAAACCAAGGCAACTCTTGACACCACAGAAACCCTCACCCATCACAGATCCAGACTCCATCTTCTTCAGCCACCCACAGTCCAAAATGTGTGTGTAAAATTCCAAAAGGGAGCAATTCACACATTATAAATTGTGTGCCCTGCTGAGGCCCCAGAGTTTCTGGCTATCCCCTCAGTGGGGTCTCAACCTGAACTGTCCCTGTGCCCAGCACCCATGCTGCTGCACACTCAGGAGCCAGTTTGGCTATCAGATTGGCTGTCATGTTCCAAAATACTTTTCTCCCTTAAAATAGGTCCAAAGTGCAAGATTAGGGACACCTCGGGGTGAGCTGGTACACACCTACCAGTCTTCAGCAGTCCAACACAGGGTGGGGGGATTGTGAGTTCAAGGCTGCCTGGGCTACAAAAGAGGTGGTAGTGCTTGACGTACCTCAGTGAATAAAGGACTCTTGCCACCTAGCCTGATTCCCGTAGTATGAAACCTGGAGCTACACGGTGGAAGAAGAGAACTGATATCCCACAAGCTGTTTTCTGACCTCCACATATGTGCTGCGGTATGTATTCATATGTACACACAATAAATAAGTGTAATTTTTTTCTAATGTGACAATGACAATTAATTGTAGTCTGTTGTCACAACTGTTCTATACACTATATAATTATGATATACTCCTCACTATATGCAATTTATAAATTAAACTTCCATGGTGCTGGGAATTGAACCTGGGAACTCACAAATGCTCAGTTCTCTGCCACTGTGCCACATACCCAGAACCATATGTTAGAATGCATTGTAGGTGTCTGTGAATAGAGAAAACCACAGTAAACACAGTGTTCAGCACTGTCTGAGGTTTCAACCATCTGCTGGGGGTAATAGAATGCATCTTCCAAGGGTTTGGAACTGGGGTGGGGGTTGGCTGGATAATATGACAGAAGTCGGAATCTATGCCATCACCTCAACAGATGTTTTTAAAAAGCATCTGAAGTGCTAGAGAGATGGGCTGCATAAGAAAACTTGCTGCCTTGCAGAGGGCAGGGTTCAATTCCCAGCACCTACAGAGTGACTCACAACCATCTGTAACTCAACTTCCAGAGGACCCAGGGGCCTCTTCTGACCTCCACAGGCACCAGGCATGCATGTGGTACAAAAGACACATATGCAGGCAAAATGCTCACAACACATAAAATAAGAGCTAAGAACCATCTTCATGGTAAAAATATCAAAAAAAACAGATGCAGATGGGGTTTCTTTACCCAGAACTGAGCCTGAAATAAGGGCAGAGAAAGGATGAGAGCCCATCTCTCCCCAGAGGTGTTTGGAGTCCAGATGAACTATGTAGACAAGACATTTCCAGAGAACAGGTGACATCCAGCAATAGACAGATCAGACCATGTGCCTTTCAGAACTCTTGATTAGGTAGTAAGAGAGCCTGGGGAGTTAGAGGGACCAAGAAAGAGGGACACATCCACCTACTGATGCTCTAGTTCATTAATCCAATTTGGAGATGGCTATCCACACCCTGAACTGCAGACCTCTGCAAAACTGCTGTCTGTCCTATACCTCCTCTTGGGAGGGGACACTAGGACCAAGGTTGAACCAATGCTATGGTCAGGAGTGGCTCCTATAATAAGCTTGGGCCTGGCTGCCAACTTGCCACCAAGAGACCAGTCTTGAGTGAATGAAGCCCTGAGCCTGCAATGCAGACACCAGAGAGGATCCATTCCCCGCTGCCCTGCTCTGGTCCCTGTAGCCAGAGTCATCCGGTACTCCTGTGAAATCACAATGGACTAGAAACCATTACTGTTTGCATTTTGGTTCCATCCACCACAGCAAAAGGATAGCCTCCACAAAACACAGCACCAGATAAAACAGTGGTGCCCAGGTACAAGGGGGAAGGCTGGGAGGAGACAAGACACTTAAGGGGAGTGCTGAGGTGTCCCTGGAAGTGGGGTGTGCACATGACCAATATGAGGGAGAGCCTAGCTGAACAGAGATGGGGAGGCACAGTAATGGGCTACATGTCTGAGAGAAATGTCTCCCAGGCAGAAGGGACAGCCAATGACAAGGATGTTCCTGGGATCAGTTCAGCAGGTCAACACAGAACCACCTTGCTAAGTGGGAGGCGAGGATGGGTCCAGGCCCTGCAGTATCAGGGCAGGAGTCTTGGCTGCCCACCACCTCAGTTTCCAAAGATGTATCAGCTGCCTGTGGAAGTGTCAGCAGAGGCTCTCCAGGCTCAGCCATGGGAAGTACAGGGTGGCCTCACCAGGGGTTCTTTTCCCTAATGCGAGGACAGGGTAAAAGAATTTTTGGTAAGTCTGTGCTGGGAGCCAGAGAGGCTATTTCTGGCTCTGGGAGGAAGGGTACTGTTGTTGATTTATCTGTCATCTTATTTCTGGACGGGATTGTTAAGAGGCTTTTTTTGGGTAGATGGTGGGTTGTCTTCCTCTAAGAGCTATAACATCAGCCCCTGAGAAACTAACCCCAGCTTCCCACTCTGCTCCTTCAGAACAGACACATGAAGCTGGAGGGCCCTCGGGGAGGGGCAAGCCCCAGCCGCCGGCTTTCACCAGTCCAAAGAGGGAACTCACACAGGAATGGTGCTGGCACCCGGGTCACACACAGTGTCCTGTCCACTTTGCAGGTAACAAATGAGTGTAGAAGGTACAGAGGATGACACCCCAGGGGTGCAGCTCTCAAGCTGGCTAGCTTGACTTTAACCTGGAACTGAACCACTCACTAGTCTGTGGCAGATGACTGGCGGAGTTGAGTTGGGTTGGTAGGAGCATGCAGCCAGTGCCCAGTGGAGGAGACACACAGAAGGAAGAGCAGACACGTTCGGAGTTACGGCTCTCCATTGGTCCATTTCCAGCTCCCCAGGGCATGTCAGGTATCCAAGTTCAAGATCTTACTGGTTTTCTTCAGTATATTTTTGTTCTCATCTTCACAGTTTGTCTTTTAAATACATGATTTTTTTCTTTTTCATTTCTGCTTTGATAGAGTACTGCTACCCACTCCATTCCTTATGATCTCGTATCCCTGGCTGCTTGACTGGTGAAACCCACCTCCATCCCTGACATACAGTGATTATTTTCTACCACAGCCAACTTCAGGGACATCTCTCCTAAATGTGGCTCTTACTTGTGGCAAATTGCTTCCACAAGCTGAATTCCCAGGAGTGAGGTTTGGGGGTCCACAAGAATGGACATTTCATTGGTTCTTCCACACTGTGTCCCCAAAGGGTACCAATAATGAATGACCATGCCTTTCTAGCTCTGGCTGGTCCCCTCTTCAGGCAGCATCTTTATGAAAGGACAGGATGATAAGTGTGACAAGGAATTCCATCTCCTCTCTGTGATCATTTTGAGGCCACAAGGTCTGATATGGCGTGAGACTGGGACAGAAACCTCAGGTAGGACATGAGGTACCCTACAAGTCCAA